TGAAGTTTGTTCTTGTTTAGAATTTTGTACTGTTAAAAAGAGCTGCCGATCTTCCGTGGGTTTAGCAATGTTAGGGCATCGGGTCTGGGCTGGTGGCTGGTAGGAATTAGAGGATCTCATCCTCTCATCCCATTCAGGCAGAGACTGATAATTGAGTTTTTAAAAACAAAACAAACAAAAAAACCACAAAACAAAAGGGCAGTAGGCTGATCCTCACCAGGGCTTCCAGCTCTACTTGATGTTGGGAACAACTCCTTTGCAAACGTTCCTAGGGTACACGGGCTGTATGAAGAAGCAGGAGAGAAACTGCCCCAGGAATGAACTGCAAAAAAGGTTTGAAAGAGAGCACTGGAAGCTTATGGGGCAGAGCTGTGGCTGCCTTCTCCACCTGGCATTGATATATGCCTCAGCTTATGTACACAGGTGTGAATGTTACCTGGCAGCTACTAGTGTGGTAAGATCTATCCTGAGATAGACCTCGCCTGTGCTACAGGGCCTTCAGCAGGTATTTGCTGCGCTTTAAAGAAATAAGTGGTTTGTGTTGTCTGCATGCTCAGCTGAAAACTCTGTTAGTGTCATTGTTTATACCGTATTGTTTAGTTATCGTTTGGATGTGCCTCCTCCATTCTTGACTTTGATTCTGTCCGCTTCTTGTGTTTAATAGGTTTGGCGTTATCCTTCCCCATTATCCTTAAGGGTCAGCAGTTTCCTTCTCTCTTTTCTATGTCCTTGTCTGCCTTTCTTCCCTCTAATGTTTTTTTATTCCTTCTCACACTTTTTTTTTTTTGGCTGCCCCAGGCTCTTTCTCCAAAAGCATGTTCTGTCCTTTGTTTCATTTAATTGTAAAAATAACATTATTCAACCAGGATTAAACCATAATGGTTACTTTGGCCAAGCTTTTCCGGGATGACTTTCTGAAATGGGCCTACATTTAAATAGTGTGCAGGGCTGTCTATGATGGATGCAGCTTGGTGCTTGCACTCTAGAAAATTACGCTGTTTGAGTGCGTGATACTTAGCATCCTGGTCTACAGGAGTATATTCTTCTGCCTCCTTGCACGTAGTTTGGTGTTACTGTGGCTTTGCCAAGATGGTCACTTCCCCCAGTCATGCTGCGTAGGACTGCAGGAGCGCCTGTAACCTTGCTGTGCTGTGCTGGGGATGATGGAGACTCTCTGGTTCTTAAACCAAGGTTGAGCGGTGGTGCAGAAAAGGAAGGTGCACCCTGTGGATATCAGCATATGTGTGTGCTTGTGCTTCATGCCACTTCTTCCAGCCAGAGTGATGGATTGAATAGCAGCTTACAATGACACAGTGGAGAGTGGTTACTGGATAATTATCATTTTTGTCACTCCTTAATAACGTGGCTGTTTTAAAGGGAAGGCTACTGGTAAGAGACAGTTTAGGAGTACAGTACGTGTGCAATGATAAAATCATTTAGAAATGTAATCTTTCTTTGCTTGATATTTGTTTTATAGCTGCCTTACAGTGGGAACTGCAGGAGTGCAGAGATATTACTTGTATAATTGTCATGTCTATTAGAAAGCCTGTTTTCCCATGAGAAATTGTAAGTTGGTGCTCAGCTTCACTTTATGAATTACAAAGATTGGTGTGTTTTGCGTAACACAGGTTCAGGAGGTGCCTTCTCAAGGTAGAAGCATTTGTGTCGCCCTGTTGCTGAACCTCAGCTCGTGACGCATTCCGTGGTGATTAATGGTTGTTTGGGGGTTATTCTTTGGTGGAGAGGGTTTAATTAAAGACGCCCAAAAGACACATTCTTGCTCTCTCCAAAAATAGTACAAAATGCTCTAAAATATTGCTTGCAATCTAGAGTTTAGTCTATAGTTTGTCCCATCCACACTCCAAATTAACGCCAAACAGTTGATAAGAGTAGACAGTGCTAACTCCCTTTAGGAGAATGTCTGACCGCACAGAAACTGTAATGTCGCTTGCAGACAGAGCAAGGCACTGTCCTTTCCCTCCTGGCTAACCCGCTCTCATACCTGCTTTGAATTGCTTTAGTACATCTCCACTGGAGTTACAGCGTGGTACCTACCTCATCTGCAGTGGCTCATTGAGTAATGAGTTAGTTTTGTTGTTATTTAAACACTTGAACTTTTTAATGCTCTGGATATAAAGATTCATTACCGTGATCATATATAAAAGGACGATATCTGAAGTTCAATATTTTCGTGTTGTGTTTAAATTTGGGGCTTTCCCTAGCTCGTGGAAAGGAGGTCATAAATAACGTTATTGCAGGACCGACACTTTGGCTATCAGGTATATAAACATGGCATGCTAAATCCTTGGCATGCTAAATCCTAATTGTACTAGGAATTAACCCTGTTGTAGTCTGACCCAAGAAATACACACTTTGGAGGCTGCAACCATGGCATCACACTGCAGAATTTAAAGGAAGAGACTATCTGTACCTGGAAGTGATTAAAAAAAAATAACCACTTCATAAGTGCCTGTGCTAGTGAGGTTTTTTGTTTGTTTGTTTGTTTTTTTGTTTGTTAAAGGTTATAGATTTTAAAACTCCCTAGAATTTTTATATTTTCAGGAAACAAATTTCACTTCTGGCAGTGTGATGGGAATTCAGGGGGAGTGGAGAGAAAATAGTGCAAGACAGCAACCTGTGTCGCTGTGTCCTGTCACAGTGTTCTTCACTGCGGCATCATAACATTGTGCGTTTAGGTAATTCCCCGTTTAGGTAATTCCCCTTGGTGGGTGAGTGCACTGAGGGGGCTTTTATGATGCTTACTAAGGAGGTCAACATCTGACTTCTAGTGCTAGGAAAATAAGAAAGCAAAACTGGTGAAGAACTAAAATAACTGTGAACTAGACTGTTGAAAAGCTTGCTGAATGCTTGGAAATAGAGTTATCTGTTTTAAGCCTTGCCTGAATAGTTTCTTGAAAGCCTTGCTTTCCTTACGCGTCTGTGCGTGGTACTAGAGGGAGATAGCAAAGGATTGATTTAAATGCAGAGTTGCCTCTAGGCAGGGGTTGTGGGTGTCACTCAGGTGAATCATTGTGAATGTGTTTGGCAAATCTCCAGCGTAGTTTTACCGGTCCAGCTGACTCTGCTCAGGTTACAGTTTTCAGGAAGGTACGCGCAGGTGATGTGCGTACTTTGCAGTGCTTCTGTGATATTTGTATAGTTGTGTTATACATACGCCCCTCAAATTTCTCTTGGGTTGAAAAAATGGGTAAACGTCACTTATGCTCAAACTCTTTACAAGGAGGAGACACAGGCTGGAAACGGACAAAAAGAAAGTTATTTTTGCATCTGAACGTGCATCTACGTTTTCTAAGTGCCGGCAAGGGCAGCAGGTCCGTTTGCCGGGCTCAGGACGCGTTCCTCGTCCTGGGCAGCTCGTGCGTGCGGGGCAGCAACGGCGCAGCTGTGGCAGAGCTGGGAAGTCCCTGCAGCCCCCTGCCCGGCGCGCCGGGTACTCGCTGCTTCTGGGCTCTTGCTCAGCAATAGGTTATTGCTTGGATTGCGGTGGCTGAGCGAAGAGGATTTCAGCAGTGTAGTCTGTAACGTAATTACCTGCTTTTCCTCATGTAACAGAGGAGTTTATCCTTTTATATTCTTTTTAACCACATGCAGAAAACTCAGAAAACTCGATCTGAAGTGGAATATATCTTTTATTAGGGAGATCTGTTGCATTTTAGTCCCTAGGATGTTGAGCTGTGAGTTGTAGGAGGCATGCGTCAGAAAGGCTAGGAAGCAGAATAAAAAATGTGACGCGAGATGGTGCGTGTTTGTGCCGTGACAGCTTTAATGGGGAGCATACTGCTGATAATTATTGGTAAGAGTAATATCTGCAGCACTTCTTAGAGCTCTGAAACCACTAAAACCACCTGGAACAGGTTGTCGGCAGGTGATGGTAAGCAGACAGGATACCCGCAGCCAGGCACAGGGTCTCCTGTATCGTGTGAAAACCTGTTGTACCGTGTCTCAGCTCAATTAGTCGCAACACGTGTAAGCTCACGAATCCTCATCTTGGCTAAGATCCCCCTGGTAGCACTGTGTCCAACCAAAGAGGTCTGCATGCACAGCAAACAAAAATGGACCTGCTCTCAGCTCCTCTGTAGTGAGGCAGAAATGGCATTAAGCAGCATTAGGGTTTTGTGTGTTGGGAGGTTTTGACCTTCTCCCGACTGCTCCCAGCCCCCTGACGCAGAGCAGGCTTGGGTGCTTGTTCCCACCAAGTTAACATTTGTGAGCGGTTTTTGGAATCGGGCAAGTCCCTGTGTCCTGTCTGTCCTGCGGAAGGGAGAAAAGGGCTGCAGCGTAGCTTCTCCCCTATTCCTGCTGTCTAGTGTTTGGGGCAGAACAGTGGCAGTTCTGCTCACGCAAACCACCATTTAGAAGATGCATAGTTTTTCTGGCTGTACTTGCCTTTGCTTTTGAATGTTTTATTATGAAACTTTTTCCTGAGCATATCTGAGAAGCAGGGCAGCTATTAGCTTGTACATATAAACCTTTCTTTTTGCTATTGGTAGATACTTTCTGTGTTGTTATTGTCACCTTCTTCCAGTCAGGAATATTTTATTTTCTCGTACTACTTTTTCTGTACGCTGCCACCTTTGAAATGACTGAATCAGTGTTAGTGAAGTATTCGGGGCTAGTTGTGACCTGAAATACTTACCGGATCGACTGTATGAAGTTTGAGTGCAGTCGTTTACCAGAGGTCACATTCTTTACTAAAGAATAATAATAAAAAATCAAGCCCTGGTTATTGTTTTGCTCTTTCAGAGGGATGGGGAAAACGATCATGTTCTTTGAAGGTGTAGGGGCAACTAAGTACGATCAGGGGCTTGCCTTTTAATGTGACTGTCTCTGGTGGCCAGATGTAATCTGTACACAGGGGGGAAGCAAATCTCTTTAAAAGCATCTGGAGCTTTAGTGATTTCTTGTGTTCTGGTTTTTCCCCAAAGATCCGAGCCAAGAAGAAACCTACTCCAGTGAAGTATGAAGTTGGGGATCTTGTTTGGGCCAAGTTCAACAGACGCCCATGGTGGCCATGCACAATTTGTCATGACCCAGTGCTGGACTGTCACTCAAAAATGAAAGGTACTGTATCTACTCAGACCATAAAGTGGAGGAGTTGTGTATGGCAAGGTGCTGCAGTTTCTTATTGATAAACAAACATTCCTGGCCCTTGATAGGTCTAAAGAAATAGACTCTACTGTGGAAGGCTGTGGAATGTATGAAGTAGACCTGAACCTGGGAGGTGTCAGGAGGAAAAAGGGGCTGAAGCTGATGGAAATGAGAATCATGTGGCACAGATAGCTGGACATGCAGGCTCTGGTTCCCAGGGTACAAGAAGGATGAGAAGCTAGGCTGAGTGCAAGGCAAGACAGAAGAAAGAGCAGCCTATTGAGAAAGAGGTATAGAGAGAAGGCAGAGAAAGGGAGGATGAATTAGAGAGGTGCGAACTGAGAAGTGCAGTGGGTAAAAAGGGTGGGCAAGCAGAGCTGGGTAGCCTGGAGTGTGCAAGGATGCAGAGAGTCGGCCAGACTTGGAGAAGAACCGGAGGCAGGAGAGGCTGTGAAGTGGGGTTGGGGGTAGAGCAGTGTAGCTGCTGAATGCCTGGAGGTGTGATGTGAATGTGTGGTGGGAAGTGATTTTTTTTTTTTTTTTTTTTTTGCCTTGTTTGGCACGAGGAAGCAGGGGTCTGTTTATGGTGAAATATCAGAAAAACCTGGAGATGGAGCCACATATGTGAAAGTTTAGGGCACTGTGTTAGAGTAGGAGCAGCTGAATGTCAGGGGAAGAGATGGAAGGAAATAAGACAGAGCTGTGCGTGCATGAACACAGGAAAAAGAAGGGAAAGCCGGGAGGGAACAGGGTGCTGTAAGGCCAAGGCAGAGAAGTGTAGATGAGCGATCAAGAGAACAGAGGGGAAGTGATTGTTTGGAAATTGCCTTCTATTTGAAGGCCCTGAAATTGCTTTTTGGGATCATATTAGCTGCCACAGGGAGAATGCCACAAATGGAAAGGCTTATTACTTGTATGTGTGTGTGTGGTTTTTTTTCTTGGTTTCCCCTTCTGGTTCTTTCTTTGTTCTGTGAGTAGCTGGAAACTCCTTGCAACGGTACCGTCTGTCATTGACAGCTCTGTGCACTGGAAAGGTTGCTGCTCACTGATGTATTTGTCTGCAGTTTTCGTGACCCTTGCTGGCCTAAGAACTGAGTGCTGAGAGTGAGCAGATTTCAGTGACCACCAGCTCAGAGCTCTTTGCTATTCCTCTAGAGATATGAAGTAGCTTTTTCTACATCACGCGTGTGTTACCCCAAGTCTGGTTGCTGCAATCTTGCATGCTGTTTCTTCACCTCCCTCTTCTTCCTCTGGGAGGCATTCATTCTGATTCTAGATAATACTGAACGTGCAGTTTTAAATAGTCTCTTTTGAACTCACAAAGAGCATGTTACAAAGATGTTGCCTGAAGATATGCCAGGCAGGTTTCCATCCTCTCTATCCCTCCGCCAATGAAATTTTGTAGTGGATTTAGAGTATGTAGCTGTCCAGTAATCCCATCTCTAACCCCTATATGATGATTTCTAATACGGGAATTCTGCAGGGAGGAAACATGCTATTAACAAATTCCAGCAAGGTCTGATCTCCTGCCATGTGATAGACTCTCCCATCAAGTTTTATCCCTGTTCAACCCAATAGATATCTGGGGAAAATTGTATTTTCCTGTTGAGGTTTTATTTAATCTGCTTGTCTCGTCTCCCTGAGCCAGAGATGGAAGACCAGTTGAATCTGAACTCTGGTGATTTTGGGCAAAGGGAGCTGCCCGAGCTCTGTGTGTACCATAGGAAGCACAGTCCTCCTACCTTAGCTGCCTCTCCTGTTGTCATGGGAACAGGCCATTCAAAACAAGGCAGGTTGCTTCAAACTCGTCCCTTGTGCAAAAAGCTTTTCTCTTCTTGGTCTGTGGCACAGTGTTTTGTTTAAAGCAGTTTGCCTTTTTTCAGCAAGCTCTTGAAAGACATAACTTAAAGATTTTTGGAGCTGAGAAGTTGAGGGGTCAGTAGCTTGGTCCCTGTATTGTAAATGGGATAGATGAAGTCTGTCATCTTTGTCCTTGGTTTGATGTTGACAGTTGCTGTTTGTCATCCTCTCAGTGGTCTTGGTTAGAATCTAAATGTCTGCATTGCTAGTCGCCAGGGCAGCAGGTACTGCGTTGGCATTCTTGGAAGAGCTGTTGCGAACCAAATGGGCTGTGAAGCTTGAGCTACATATTCAGAAGGTGGAGGTATTCCTAGCAGCACATGAAGGAGACGTTGTAG